TGTTAAATGCTACTACTTTCACTTTCAGTGCTTTATTCTTCAACTTTTTCGCGTATAATAAGGTAAGAAATATACATATATCAAAACAACCATTAACAACTATATATATATATATATAATTGACAGTTGAATTAGAATAAGCTGGCTTTCAAATTAAACAACTAAAATGAGGCAATTATGAAACACGCTGAACAAAAAACTAAGAAATACTATGGAAGATACAATTGAGGAAGGATAATTAAAAAATGATATATCTTGTTTTTCATTAATTACAAGATACATGAAATTATTTTAAAATATTCCAGATGTTTTAATTAAAATTCATCATCATTGTCGTCCAAGTCCCATTCGGAAGTTTCAACTGGGCCAGGATCCTGGTCAAAATCGACCTGTATATCATATTGGTAATCCGTATCACCTGGTTTTTTTCTGTTCATTTCAAATGTCTGATCCATTATCTCTTTCTTCCTTTTCAATGATTCATCATCAAGTTTATTAAGATCTTCTTCGGGGTTAACAGAAAATTCTGTTTCAACTACATTCAAACTTAGATCTAGGACATTGCCTTTCATGTTTTCTTGGATTATTCGCAATAACTTTTCTATTCTTACTGCTGGTACAGATTCCAAAAAATCTTTATGTCTGTCCTTGATATCCGCAGCCAATCGGCTAGCACTTGAATTTTTGAACATTCCTCTTACAGGCATAGTGCGCCTGTGAAGCTTTTTAGTCGTCAAGTCTTCGTACACCAAAACCAAAGCTGGGGATTTAAATCTCACACCAAGTTTTTTGGCGATATATTTTACGCTTTCACTTTCAGTCGACATTATGAATCAACACATATTCTGCTACCTCAGTAGTAAAATAAGCATGCCACTTTCAAACATTGCCATGGCTTGATAATTAAAAAGATAAATTCTTAACCCCGTGAAGTGTACATAGCTTTTATAACTTATAAGTTACAAATAATTATACGTCAGGCTTAATAAGTAATATAACGTTAGAAATCTGACGTACACTTCACTCAGTCACACTTACAACTATAACTTATAAGCGAAAGAATGTTATATATTTTGTTACCTTCTTTTGTCCGCAGAATATACCATAATATCTCACACATTTACTTTAGATTACTGAAATATCATTGAATATTTCAAAGTTTTTACGCCTGTTAAGCTTAACCGTAAACTACAACAATAAACTCTATAGTGTTAGTATACGGCTTTTCCCACCTGGAATGACTAAGTTAGCTGTATGTCAAACAATTCACTAGCTGAGAAACAAGTAAAAAAGAAGACATTATTTAAAATATATTAACAACTTATCAGTTTGTTTTGATATTCGTGAATCCAATATATATTATAAAAAGTAATAACTAGAAAAAAAAAGTGTCAGTTCTTAACAATTAAGTTCTCCGGGTAGAACGAACGGCCTTATGGGATAAACTGATGGCGGAGTATATGTATGATATTAAACTCAAAACGTTGCCCTGATTCTCAAGCCTGGGTAATATAGCAACTAGGTTTAGACAATTTATATATTCCACATCATTATTTTGAATCTATTTTAATAATGCTATAAACTTATTTTTGTTAAATGTATGAGTTAAACATCTTGAGTTAGAACTAGAAGTAGAACTTCTAAGTTCTAACTTTTACTAAATACTAGTACCAGAAGTTCAACTTACATTTTGTAAACATTTCATTTTCTACAAATTCTATTTGTAGGCTAAGTAACACTAACAGTAACAATACAGTACTGACATTAGTGGTAAATATTCAGTCTGTGTTACTGTTAGTTTGTTACTAAAGTAAATATTCAAATTACTGTGTTGGTAATGCTACTATTAGTGTTACTTGTTAATGTCAGATATTGTAAGTTGATTATAAAGTCTCGTTAGGTCTAGTATTTCGTAATAATATAAAGATAATCAAAAGTGTTATTAATGGGTTATTGCTTATAATAGTATTATGTGAAGACTGAAGCGACACCATTTAGTTATAACCTTTTTTTTTTAAAGTATAACACATTGTAATTTGGACAGATTGTAGGCCCATAATACTGCCCACCTTTTAAAGTTTTCTGTCTGTGGAATTTGGTATTTGTACAAGATTCACAGCATCATAATGTCAGGCTTGCAGTTGGATGCTAATAGTAGTACACAACGATAAACTGATACTGTAAGCCTAATTATATGCTGAATCAAATAAAAATCTTGTGCTTTTGCATTTGAATTGGAGTTGCCTTCCCTTTGTAAACTATATACCAACCATCATCTCTCATTTGTTTCAGTTTAATATATTATTGATAATGTTGATGAAATCCTTTTTTTAATTCACAAATGATTTTAAAATGCTCATAAAGGTAGATATTGTTGCGATAGCTCCTTTTAAAATTCTTATTCAGAAGGACTTGGACTCAAGTGTAAGAATCTTAGATCAATGACTTCACCAGAAGTACTTTAATAGTTAGACTTTGAGATCTTAAATTGTTTATCATGTTATGTACCCATATCTTGCAATGTTATGATTGACTAGAAATTAACCATTTAAAAAGTTTCATTAGTTCTGTGTGGCTATGTATGGTACACCATTTCTTGGTTTAAGAAATTTTATATAACAACAGCTTTAACTTTATGTGAGATGCTTCAGTGAATCATAATTTGAAACATGATAATTGTAGAAGAGTAAGTAAATAATAATATGAAGCTGGTACTTTTGGTTTAGTATTATATGATGTAATATTCTCTATTGAAGATTTTTATAAGTATTGAAACATCTTACAATACTAATATACACATGATCTATTAACACTGTGAGGGATTATTTTAAAAGTTAAAAGCATTTATTATAATGGATTTTGATTATAATAAGTGAATGATAATACATGTGGATTATCATAATTTGGATGGGAATAACCTTAACAGTGTCATGAAAGAAAAAGATCTTGGTATAATGGTTGATCAGTGTTTTAAACCATCCAAGCAGTGTGCTGTTGCTAGTGGTAGGGCAAATAGGATTTTAGGTTGTATCTAGAAAAATTTTGAATACAATTATAAAGAAATTATAATTTCATTGTATAGGTCACTAGTTAAACCACATTTGGAGTATTGTGTTTGGTCTTGGGCTCCTTACCTTTGGAAGGACCTTGTATTGTTGGAAAGGGTTACTAGAATGGTGCCTTGGATGGAGGGGTTGTCATATGAGGAGAGATTAATATCTCTGAAATTCTTTTCTCTTGAAAAAAGAAAAGCTGGGGAGATCTAGTTCAGTTGTTTAAAATTGTAAAGGGAATTGATAATGTTGATGTATCATCTTTTTTCATACTTAACAGTGAGAATAGTTAGGACTAGGGTACACACACACAAATTTTGGCAAGGTAGGAGTCATCTTCAGCTGAGACAGTTTTATTTTTCTAACAAGGTAGTTGACCTCGAATGGGTTGCCTTCGGATGTTGTGGAGGCAAAAGATTTAAGTGAGTTTAAAAGAAAGTTTGATAACTATATGAATGATAAGGGCTGGCTTTAAGATTATTTATTTAATAGTTTTGATTTAGTTTGGAAGATAGGACAGCCAAGATCGATCAATGTGACTCTTATTGGTATGTTATTAAAGAAATAAGAGAGCAGAAGCAACAGATTATGTAAAGGTTGTAGAAATTATGAAACTGTGACCTTTGAAGTAATGAAACTGTTTGAAGAAACTAATAAAGGAGAGAAAATATAGAATAGTCTGATATTCCAGTGTTTTGTTATATGTATGTATATGTGTGTGTGTATATATATATATATATATATATGTACATATGTAATTTAAAGAGAGCAAGGGACCTTTTAGGCTAACCTATAATATATATTTTGTATATGTATATAATTTAAGGACAACAATAATCCTATGGTCCATCCCATCCACTTTACTAATCTCTAAAATAGAAAAAAAACTCATAGCCAGTCCTATTCTTTTTAAAATTTATCAAGCTTTTCCTTAAACCCCTTCAAATTAACTGCATTTATCATATATGCAGGCAACCCATTCCAAATGCCAACCATCCTGTTAGAAAAATAAAATTTTCCTGGGTGAATATGATTCCCACTCTGCCAAAATATTTATATTTGTGTCCCCCTAGTTTTACCATTCTCACCATTAAATAATAAAAATAAAGATGATGTATAAACACTATCAATTCCCTTTACAAATTTAAACACTTTAATCAGATCCCCTCTAACTCTTCTTTTTTTAAGTGAAAACAATTTTGAAGATCTTAACTTATCCTTGTATAACAATATTTTCATCATGGTTATCAGCACAATAGCCCTCCTCTGAATCCTTTCCAACAATTCATTGTCTTTTCTAAGGAAAGAGGCCAAGACTGAATACCTTATTCTAAATGTGGCCTAACCAATGACTTGTACATTGGCATTATAACTTTGTTATTGTGCTGCAAGAAATTCAGTTTCCTATGTAAGTTGGCCTTCACGATGGTTTTAAAGTCTTTTTTTAAGACTACATTTTGTTTTTATCCACCATTGCTAAATACATAGGATTGGTGACTTGTCCTTAAAATGTGGAACTTGAACCAGTTATTGATGCTGAAACGTTTCAGTATCGAAAGGTTTGGTAATTGTGCCATACCTTCCCCAGTGATGTGGATTTTGAATATGAATTATTACACATCCAGTCCTTAAAGTCTCAGAATTAGTATTCCATTCACAATGGACAATAATAATATCATTAAGCAAAATGAATTGAAAATTTTTAATAACTGGACAGATTTGTCAGGTAATTATAACCCAACAAGATTTCCAACAGAAACCTTTGTAATACAATATACACATTGTATAATGTACCCATGAGCAATAAAACAAAAACTGGTTGAGCAATGATTACTTGCACTCATTTGTTCTCCAGAGTTGTGATCTCAACCATTTCCATATTTGAAATTAACACTAACTCTAAAATAGCATTGTCCTAGTAGCTTCCTTGTCCAATAGGTGAAGAAAACCATTCTGATTGGTTTCCAAAAACTTGTTTTTCTCATGGTTTTACACAAAAATTTCCCAATTTATATGCTTCAAATTAAAATCCCCCATAATTATAACCTTGTTCTCAGAAAGCTACTATAGGGGTGAACAATATGTCTACATCCTAAAGACTATAAAGTATAAAGGCAAGTGTACCTTGTACATTTTTGGACATAAAAATACTTGTGAATGTATTTTAGTTCAGAATTATAATTTTGCTATTTTTCTGATATCATTAATCAGTATAGAAACATTGTTTTCTTGTGAAGTATTAACCATAAAAGCTTTATTGTTATTCTGAAGCTATTTGCTTTGATCACAATATTATATAACAATATTGTAATTTTTGTATATTTTCATGGTTTCATTAAGTAAGTTGGATGAATGAAGTGTTTTGATGTTAATAATGTGTCTGCTATCTTTGGAGAAAAAATTGATGGACCACAAATTAAATAAGGTTCTAAAGATTATATATTTAATGTTTTAAAATTAAATTACAGGGATATTAGACTTTATGAAGACTAGAAATATAAACTTTATGCATTAAAGTGGAATAAAACTTGTTTATGCTGCTTTAGATTACTTTTAAACCATTAATTTCAGGTGTGCTATTTTTAAATACATGGAAAGATGAACTGTACAGTTTAAAGGACAAAAGTAAAGCAGCAGCTGTGAATTCTAAGTGAGAAAATCAAATTATTGAGAATATTAAAAAATAAGAAAATTTGATAGAATATTTACAACAAATCAGATTATCTATACAACTTCATCTATGCCACCAGCAGTGTTAGGACGTTTTTTTATGTAGTTATAAGTTTCACTGTTATAAATATTTTAACTAATTTTAATAATTACCAGAAGTTACAGAGTTTACTATTTACTTTACTTAGTAGTATAATTATTTTATTCATAATTTGCAAGTCATACTCTTGAATCCTGGAGCAAGTGTTTAGGTTATTTTACAAATGTGTTGTTTTTGTTTCAGAAAAGGCTGCATTATAAACATGTGGCCAATGCTACTTGATTACACACGTGATGACTGTAAGCGTATATTAAGAACATTAGGTAAATATAGTATAATTTTATTGTTTTTTCTAATGTTGATTATAATTATTTAAAAAGAGATGTGATTTCATGTCAGATTATAACATGCACTTAAAGCTAATAGAAAAGTGTTTTATATCTTGAATATTTATAATGCAATGGTAAGAGCAAAGTAAGCTTTTAAAGTTGGCTTATTTTTGCTTTTATGAATTTACAACAGTTAGAGGTTTTCTAGTGGCATGAGAGACATTGCTGGTGTTCAGATTATGTTGTTTTTTTTATTAAAATTAATTCTTGTAGAAAAATGTTTTGTCTTGAATATATTGCATCCAATGTCAATATATGTTGTTGATCATACACTGTTTGAAGATGCCCCACCCTCCTTTTATTGGCTGAAACATTGCAGTTTTAATAGCTTAAACGCATTTCCACTATAAAAAATGTATGCTGTTTATCATACATTGATTGAAGATTGCCCCTCCTATTGGCTGAAACAGTGCAGTTTTAGTAGCTTAAATCGTTTCCATTGTTAAACCAATCACAGTATTAAATTTAATCCCTCAGTGGGATCATCTCTTAATACTAAATGTTACTTCATTGATGCTCAAATAACATTATTATACATAGGATTTGTAAATATGATATAATCGTTGTACAAATAAAAATGTCAGTTTCTCTTTCACCAAAGTTATTCATTTTGAATTATTGTTATTATTAGGTTTATGTAATAAACTTGTAAGTGTCTTAATTACTTCACGAATTTCAGTCATAGTTATCAGGGCAAGATAAAGAGATTGAGCTACAGGCTGATTGTGACATTTAATGTTAGTAAGAGTAACACCTTGTCTTGAGAAATAAATAATCATTAAAAGTATCAACAATACCAGTAGGATCAGTAACAAAAGAATCCAAGTAATTATAAATACTTGTAATCTTAGTTTTACTTTTCCCGGTCCTACCCATTTGTTTAATAATCATTTGCTATGTATGATGAGAATCCCTGTCCTGAAAAACTTTATCAAAATACCTAGCTTTATAGTCAGCAACTTGATTCATCTGCTGGATGGAATGATGTAATACACTCAGTTGTTAAGTCTATCTGTGATCCCATTATTGACACCTTAACTGACAAATTTCCTAAAGTTCTTCAAATTTCTGAGATAATACCCATTTACAAAAGTAGTGATCCTGACTGACTGGGTAGAAAATTATCAGCTTGTATCTCTCATGTCTGAGTTTGCTCATGTTGTTGAGCTGAGCGCATTTTGTATAATCATATCTTCAAGGTTGTTCAGACCAGTAAGGTTCGAAATAATTCTCAGTTTAGTTTTAATAAACATAAGTATTGGAAAGTGTCTGCTGGCAATCACTACAAAGCTTATTAAGGCTTATGAGGTCACAAAATCTGTTTTGGTTTGTGGGCTATATATTGTCAAGGCTTTTGACAGTGTAAATTAAACAGTATTTCTTTATAATTGTGCTCATTATGGCTTATGTGACGATATTTATAATATTCTAAAAATGTATTTAAATAATAAGCAATGTTACAAATTTACAAATGAAGTTCCTTCTCAATAGTCTTCATTGTGGAGTTCCCCAAGGCTCAATCCATGGGCCCCTCTTGTTTATTACATATGTGAATGATTTACTTTCAGCATGTCCAAGTGGCACTTGTTATCTGCATGTTGATGATATGACTCCTATTACTGAGGCAAATACTCTTGCTGATTTTTAAAAAATTGGGAACAAAGTGTTGATGTCTGTTGAAGCTTGCCTGGCTTTGAATATTAGTAAATCTAGAGAACTGATAAATGAGGATTTGGTTTTAAATGGTATGCCACTGCCCAAGGTTGATTCCCTAAAGATTCTTGGAGTGATTATTTAAAGAAATCTTAGATGGGATGAACAAGTTGTAATGACTTCTAATAAACATGTGAGGGTGATTTATATCATGACAAGTTGTAGGAAGATTTTTTCCTGTAAGGTGCTCCATCAGATTTATTATGCCATTTTATTTTCTATAGTCAAATGACGTATTGTTTAAGTGTTTGGAGCTTAGACTTTGGTGCTTTAAGACCCATCTGGCTATTACAAAAGTGGGTTTTGAGGCTTATTCTGGGGCTTCCTGTGCAACTGTTATTAACAAATTCAAGGAATGTGGTCTTTTCACTATTTATCAGGCCTGTGCTTACCAATTCATCTGTGTTGCCAAAGATATCAGCATTTTAATCCTAATTTCAAACTGTTAATTCTTTTTGGAGAAAGTCCATATTCCTCTAGTCAGTGTTTCTGCTCTAAGTTCTAAGTATTTTTACAACTTGGCTCTTGTTATTTTAAATAGAAGACTGAAGCTAGATGTTTCAATCACCTCTAGTTTCAGGTCATTTAAATCAAAGGTTTCTAATTATTTTTTTCAAATATTTTTCTATATTTGAATTAATGATTGTGATTGTGTAAAAACTTTTTTGTATTTGGTTATTTATCCAATGTGACTAACTTTGTAAGTGAAGTAAGTAACTGCGGAGTACACAAATATTCATTTTGCTTCTGATTATAATTATTTATATATATATGTATTTTTTATTTTAGAATTGGAGGCTTATGCTTCAATTGTTTCAGCATTTAGAGCCCAAGGTGAGTTAACTAAGGAAAAGAAAAAAATGCTTCATGATTTGAGCTCATCATTAAGGTAAGTGAAGAATTTACTTTTTTGGTATTTTGTTTCTTATCTAAACAAAAGCTTTTCTCAATGAGTACAGTTTTATTAATTTAGATATTTAAATTTCTTACCATGGAACAAAAGAAAGAAATGATTTCCAAGTAATACCAAATTTGTCTTGTATAGATTTCTGTGATATTTCTGAACAGCATATATTCTGTTTGTTCTCATTTTCTAATAATATAATATACTCTTGGGGACTGAGTCTAGCATTAATGATTAATACTCTTCAGAATTAGGGATGGCTATGCACAAATAATTCTTGTATAGCTCTATGCTAAAATTTCAAATGAAACAAAGTTTATAGTTGAAATCTCATCTGTTTAATGTGATAATTTAATTACCCTTGCCTGGCAAAGGGTATTGCAATTGGGTCCATGTGTGTTTGTGTCTGTGTTTCTGCACGTGTATCTCAAAAACTAATAGAGACGTACAAAAATATTTTACACTACATGAAAAGTCAGTATACAACTGTCCTCCACAAATTTGGTTTGGATCCAGATTCTGGATCACTATGAAGAATTTTTTATAATGGGGAGTTAGGGCATTTTCGAGGTTTTTGGTTAACCCTATTGCCATGGGCATCCTTAACTGTGCATGTCACAAGGTTTTAGTGACTTATATTCAAAATTTTATTAAACTACTTTTTGTTTATGTTATACCAATTAGTATAGCCTAAAATCTTAGCTAATAATCCATATTTTAATAGTATATAAGTTTTAAGTTCTTAATTTTATAAGGCAGTATTTGAAAAAATCCTGAACTTCCTGTAGTGTGACACACGTGACAAATTTTCTCTAAGCATCTCCTCTTCTCTATTTTATCCACCACCCTTCCAATAAGTAAATTACTCCCTATAAAATCGTCATTGCTCAGACAAACCATAATTTTATAGCTGTCAATTCTGTTTGGTTGCATAGCTGTCAAATAGAAAATTAGCCCCTCTTGTCACACCCACCTGTCACATCCTCTCTTTCAGGATTTGTTAATAGTTCTCTCTTTCGTTTAATTCTGTATTATCTATGACCAATAGAAAGACAAGATTTTCATCTGTCAAATGACGTATTATATTATGTTCTAAACAGAGAATTGTCAATTTCACACTTAGTACAAGATTCATTCCCATGAGAAAGATAATGACTAGCTTGGATGAATTTGTAACGGCTCATGTTGTATAGTTAGAAAAACCAGAAAAATTGTGATAGTTAGGGGAAATTGTTTACTTTTTGCATGTTATTAATCTATGTTCTTTGGTGCATCATTTAATTAAATAAAAATTTAGTGCATTACTACCCATAGTGTAAAAAAAGTAGGGTTAAGTGTCGTTGACAATTGACAGCAAGAAAAAAAGAAAATATAGGCAAGTTCTTTGTTTCTTGTTTTTTAGGTTTATTATTTATTTATTATTGTAAAAGTAACTAAAATGTAAAAATCGGGATCTCTTTAGGTTAATTAAAGTTAGACTAGGTAAAACAAATAACAATATAATATAAATGTTTCACAAGGCACACACACAAGCAGCTCGTGGGTAATGTAATTAGATAGCGTAATGTGAGCTTCACCTTCCTCAAGTGATTTACAACTTATAATGGAGTGAATAGTAGTTAGACATGGTTCAAAGGACAATAAAACAATAAAATTTAATTCTAAGTAGATGTATACTGTTACGAACTTAGAGCTACTTAGGATAAACAAATGTAGTTTCATGTTACAATTTGAAGTTATTCTAGAAAGAAAAAAGGGTAATTTAGATGGGTTTTTTGAGGTTACGAGGTCAGTCAAATTGACGAACCTTGTATAGAGTTAAGGTAGAGAAAATAACATATAAAATATAAAGGTTTACTGAAAACAAACATTTGAAATGTATTTAGGAGGTTTTAGAGATTACACAAATAAAATTTTAGCTATTTGAGATGAAGAAAAGTATTTTTTATCTTAACATGAAAATCACTGCACACAGACTATTCAAAACAAATACTTTATATATTCACAAACAAAGTGATTTTTTGTATGTGAAAGACTTATAATGTTTACTGAAAGACTGTCAAATTTTGTGAAGATATACATACCATATTAAAAGTTAATAGTATCAAATCTATAAAGACTATATGAGTACAAAGAGATCACATGGTCGGTCAAATTGACCAAGCCCATGTTGAGATAGTTAATAACTGTAAATTGTGATCAGATTTGTACCAATTTTAATGGGCACAATAAATTTGAGACTCCTCACCACACTACAAAAAAATGATCCGGTTCATTGATTATTCTGGAACTAAGAAGGATTTTCCGAGTTTTCGAAGGTAAAATGTGATGTTATCCAATATAAATCCATGCAATCTTGAAAGGAGTGGCAGAGCGACGGTATGCAATCCTTCTGATTGTTTGTTTCTTATTTCTAGTTTTTGAAATTGCTAGTGTTGTCATTTAATTTTTTTATTCCATTTGAAACTTGTGAATTAAAATGTTGATAAAGTTATGTTGTTAAAAGTTAATAGTTTTCAATGGGGAGCTACTATTTTTATTTTATTAAATTTGATTGCAGACAAATGGTAGTATTAAAACATGTACAAAGATGCCTAAATAGATGGACTAAGGTATCTGAGATGCTTAACTCTCTCAACACGGGCTTAGCCAATTTGACCGACCTTGTGACCTCTTTGCACTTGTTTAAAGTCTTTATAGATTTAATACTTCTAACTTTCAATATAGTGTGTATATCTTCACAAAATTTGGCAGTCTTTCAGTTAATATTATAAGTATTTTTAAATGCATTTAAA